ATATTGAATAAAAGGCATGCTGACAGCACTTAAATCTAAAGGACATATATATACTTTTTTGTGTTTTACTAGTTCAACCGAACAGCTTTGCACAGAGCTTGCTCACAAGCAAACGTGGAGATTGTGCAAACGCTGCTGGAGGCCGGTGCTTCAATTGAAAATAAGGACAAGGTATTGAATAATGTTTACATAATACTTAAGTATATTTGTGCATTGAATTTTTCTATGAATACAAACACACATTAACACTTGAGAAAGAGTGTACAAGATCAAGACAAAGAAAATATTTTAAACCTAAGCTTCAAATTCATGTGACAATTTCTAATACAGAAATATACTGTTTTATACCATTTTCAAGAAAAGTTTAAATTTAATGACTAAAAATGCAACTGGTGTAACCAAGCAAAAAGTAGAAACATTGTCCTTAATTCTTTAATTCACATTATTATTTTTCATAAAGTTTAAAAATACATTTAAAAGTATTTCAACAAATATTATGAATTAATTCATAAATATAATCTTTGACCCTTATTGATCTTGACATTTCATGGAAGTATCACATGTTGGTTGCACCACCATTTTGTTGTTTTTTATATTTTAACCAAATGGATTATAAAAAAAGATTACACTGAACTTCTTAGTTTTTATGGAAGAGGTGATATTGTATGTGTTTTACTTTTAATGTATTTTTAAATAATTTTTAAAAATGAGCAGCATGCATTTCTCTGTAATACATCTATTCTATTCTTATAATTTGCATAATATGAATGGATCATCTTATTCTTTTGGATGTGTTTAATTAGCTTCAAGCAACTGAAGTTCACTGGGCTTGTCGTGGTGGCAGTTTGCCTGTGCTGGAAGCACTACTTAATCATGGGGCAAAACTGGATTCCAGAGACAAGGTAAAAGCAGTTATTTGACAGCAAATCTGTTTTAATAATATAGCTGGTGTGGTCTGACATACGGTCTCTATCGGTTACACTTGACGTCCTCAGCTTCGCAGCACCCCCCTTCATGTAGCGGTCAGGACAGGACACCATGAATGTGCTGAACATCTCCTACACTGTGGCGCAGACATCAATGCAAAAGACATAGTAAGAAATTTGGCAACACAGTCATTAAATAAAGTTAATTAACACGTTAATGGTAACTTTAAATGTCATTCTGCATCAGGAGGGTGACACTCCACTACATGATGCGGTAAGACTGAATCGCTTCAAGCTCATCCAACTTCTTCTGTTGCACGGAGGTGACTTAAAACTCAAGAATTGTGTAAGTATTCTTAAATGTAATGCTTAGCCTATATACTTTTATCTTGTTGCTCATGTATTAGGATGCTATCAGATACTAATAAATGGTAACTTATATGTAGGAAATCAATTCTCACAATTTCACTAGGATGCTTATTTAAGCTGTGCACAGTACCGTCTTCTGGTACTTATGTAAGCTTATTAGTTTTGTGGAAACAGCCCTCTAAAATTATTTTTAGTAGCCAAGACGTTTTGTAAAGGTTTAGGATCAATATTGCTTTGTTACCGTTGCTTTGTCTTCTCCAGGAGGGAAAGTCACCAATGGACAGTGTTTGCGAGTGGCAGAATGAAGCTAAAACCATCTTTGACAACTTTAAGAATGGAAAAAAGTAGATGCAATACTTGACCACCATTGGTGCGCTTTGGGCATAATACACTCAAAAACCTGCATATTAGAATCTGATATCTAAGGAAGGTATATTATTGAGCCCTGCATGACATTATGCTTTTTTCAAATGGAAAAGTTATGTGAAAGTTTTACTAGAGTTTTGGAAATTGAAGCACAGTACTTTAACTTTTTATTAAACCATAGATAAGGCAGAAAGGAATGAGAAACTTAAATGGAACATAGAGCTTCATCTTCACATGGAAATGCATTGCCTGAAATAGCTCTACTGCTAAGATTAGATTCAATATGAGCATGATTGATGGACATTTTTGATATTCTAAATCATATTTTATGACAGAATGCACTCAATGTGAAATGAGCAATTTTGTACTAGTTCAATTTATCTGTAACTTTTGTTTGCAATTCTTCTAAAGCTCAACTAAATAAATATAATTTTTAAAATATCTATCATCTTTCAATTTAAAGTGGATTGCAAGATGTTGAGAAAATGATTCAGGGAATACTAATCTTCAATGTAAAAAAAAAATGAATACACATGAATTCTGAAATACTGGCTATGCTAATTCAGTTTTGGCCTTTTTAGATACTGGAGATTCTTCTTGCTTCTGGGGAGTTTTTGGTTTCTTCATGGTGTAAACAACACCAGATGCAGTGGCTCTCGTCTCTGTTATAAAGAATTATGAAAATTACCAATGAACATTCACATAACACTTTACAACTAATATAAAAAAAAAAAACAGATTGAAATGCCCATCGGTATAAATGCATACTCAGCAAGTCAACTAGCAATCTAACAACAAAAAAGACCACGTGGCATAGAATTAAGCCTGTACTGGAGAAATGGGAAATAGTTGAGCTCTTGCCAGTAATTTACCTCCATGAAGCAAGACAGATCGACAGTTAGTAGAAACAGCACCTTTGGCATCTCCCTCAGACAGGCTGAACACAAGCCCTCTGAAATCTCAATGAAGGAACATATAAACATAGATACAGTGCCTTTTAGAAATACCATGACATTTTCATTCACGATTTATTCATACACAAATACAAAGGATACAAATTGGCAATGTCATACGGACCCCTCAACTCAAGTGGCTAAGGAAAAAAACAAAGGACAACAATGTCATACTGACTATACAATACAGTAACACTGAAATGATATCAATTTACAAAAGACTTTTTACCCTTTCTGCTCCACTGGACACTATGATATTCTGTGGGGGAAAAAATTTAATTTCAAAACTAGCTTAACACATTTTAAAGGTGTTTACATGTAAAAAGGGACAACATACTTTTCCTTTACAGACTTCCATGAGGCTGATGGCATTGGCAATGGTGTATCTCCTCATAGTGGTGTCTCTGATGGCTGCCGCATAACAGGTCTCAAAGAAAACCCCCCTGTCAATAGCCTGAAGTGACCAACAATATAACAGTGATGATACATCATTTAAAGGGATAATTCACCACTAAATTACCATTATTTATTAACCATCATGTTGTTTCAAACCTGTATTAAAAGGTGACATTTTTAACATATAATAAAAAAGTAAAAGACTTGTGCTGTCAAGTTTTGGAAAGAATGCAAAACACCATGATAGTATCATTAAAATGGTCCATGCAACTCAACATTTTACAAGGACATTCATTTTAATTTTGATGTGGAATATCCCTTTAGGACCTCATATTCACAACTTTGTAATTGTACTTACTTTATTACCAAGTTCTATAAATGTGTATTGATAAGTGCCGCTTAAAATCACCTTGTATGCTGTTAGGTATGGATATAAAATACTGTAACTCACCCCATTAACTGGAGCCCTTTTAAAATGGAAGGGCTGTTTTTCAGCCACTGCAATGCAGATAATGTCCACATCAAAAGTCATGCAGGCTGCCTGACACAGACAAAGGAAAATATACAGAAACTTTAATATAACAACTGTTGGTTTTCATCAGAAATATAAAGAAAATAAATAATACTAAATGGAATAAATTAAGCTAATTCAGAATTGCAATTTCCCTTACATGAAAGAGTTTTTCGGTCTTGGGGTACACCGCCACAAGGTCGAAGCTTTTGTATTCATTGGTTGGTCTCTAGAAAGAAAATAACATACAAATTTCACAATATAAATAAAATGTTAGCAAATTTCTTAGAGTTTCTTCATTATAAACATGCAACTTACAAAATGAGATGCATCAGAGGCTATGATGGTCAATCGATTCAGTACTTTGATGGGAGAAGATTTGCCCTATGAAAAAAAGCACACAATATTCATCAACAGTATCCATCATGGGTAAGTATGCTCTAGAAACATGCTAAAGTAATTTACCTGTACTATTGGGAATTTATCAAATATGTCTGACACACTCTGTGGCTTAGGAATTTCCTGTAATACAAGAAAAGAAGAGCATCATCAAATTAACTCTTAAAGTGTACAGGTTAGTCTAACTACTTTATATTATACCTGTTTCTTCTGTTGTGGTTCAACCACATAGTTTATTGCGACCGTTGAGTAGCCAACTAAAATATAAAGAGTTAAAGTTAATAACTGAATTAATTGTTTGTCAATAGTACATGAAATCTATTTATTTGTTTACCCTGCTTCTAGTTGATCAAAGTTGGGCCAAGCTGGTCATGAGCTAGCAGACCTGGTATGACCAACTGGACTCATAGTTGTTTTGTTGCTAGTGCAAGATAGTTTCCCAGCTCACACAAACTAACAACCAGCTAATTACCATCTTAGATCAGTTAGAAGACCCCAGCCAAAATAGAACTACTGGATTTCCAAAAATGTGTTTGGCAAGGTATGGGTTAAGCCTTCACAATCAAAATGCATTATTAAAGAACATCTTATTAATAATTACTAAAGTAGATAGTTAACCTACTGGTGTTAACCATAATTTCAGCAAATATAACTAATATTACTGCTACTTACGGTGAGCTGCTGTCTCTATGATGCTTTTGAGTCTGTTTTTATCATTACTGCTGATGATGTTTAGATCCATGAACACAGACATTTTTTCCACTGTTTTTACAAACGCAAATCTATATAGAGTTTACTTCTTATCACATAAATCTAAACCATTTCAACGAATGTAGTGAGACCCACATGCACAAACACATTCCACGTTAAAGCGTGAACCAGAAGTTAATTGTGTTTTATGGGTAATGTAGTTTGCATATGCCATTTTTGCGTTGGTTTCGCTTATCGTGTCAGTCAACTAGAACTACAGTACAATTTACTTCCGCTTTGGGGGCGAAGCTACGTCGTAGCGAACTCTCCGATTGGTCCGATTTGAACAGAGAGAAACCGCTACGGTCACGGCAGGAAAGAAGCATGTTATCGATGTGAACGGGATACAGTTATCTATATATATATAACAATAAAGCGAAAAGTAAGTGAAATTGGCGAGAATGAAACATACAGTTGATACTTTTACATCTTGTCCAAAATTGTTGCTTAATTAAATTGGAAAAAATCTCAGGCAATGGCTCGTTCAATAGTCGATGCGTTATTGTTGTTTCACTTTTGTTTGTAGCCACTTAAATGTTGTTATCATATGATAACATTTTTAGCTAAACGTATTGATAGGCTTCGTCAAGATGATGGAATCGTGTTTAAATCATAAGCCTGGGAGAGTTGGCTCTATAACGGCTGAGGACGTCAGGAAAGATCTTTTCGTCGAGTTTTCCAAATTATCAAGGGTATTTATTATTATCAAACATATTTCATGTTTTAAAGCCCTCGAATTTAGGCTGTAAAGTAGTATTTCATGTTTCATATTTCTGTTTTCAACAGGACTCGGTATTGCTGGAAAAAGAGCATCTACAGGTCTATCTCCGTGTCCGCCCATTCACTACTGCAGAGAGAACAGAAGGAGAATCACAGGTGCCAGCAAAATTCTGACATATTTTATAAAATTTTTGAGAAATTCTGTCATAACCCATATGTGTTCACTTTTATTGTGTGAGTATGGGTTTGAAACAACATGAGGATGAAAAGTGAATGATGAATTTTCATTTTGGGGTGAACTATACTTTTACTATGCTTAATGAAATATGTTATGACTGTAATCTCTACAAACAGGAGTGCATCTCAATTGAGCCTCCAGATACCGTGATTCTGAAGGCACCTAGAGCATCTCTGACAGCCAGACACAGTGAGAGATTTGGGTCACAGCTGGCACAACGATTTCAGTTCTCACAGGTATGAGGACAGCCACAGTCACCACTGGCATTGTCATTTATTGCAAACAGGCTTCAGTGATGTTATCAAGTGTGCTTCTGCTGTAATATGATTGCTGAATTCATGTTTTAGGTGTACGGTCCAGAAACGACACAAAGAGATATATTTGATGGAACAACCAAAAGCCTTGTGAAAGAAGTCTTGGATGGAGGAAATTCCTTGATCTTTACGTATGGAGTTACTAATGCTGGGAAGACGTTTACTTTTTTTGGTAAGAATTTTGTATGAGATGTGTCGTGGCCTAATGGTTAGAGAGTCAGACTTGTAACCCGACGGTTGCGGGTTCGAGTCTCAGGTCTGGCAGGGATTGTAGGCGGGGGGAGTGAATAACCAGCGCTCTCCTCCACCTTCAATACCACGACTGAGGTGAGACCCTTGAGCAAGGCACCGAACCCCCGTCTGCTCCCCGGGCGCCGCAGCAAAAATGACTTGGCCACATGTCATTTCACTTTCACTTAATTATATATTGCACTGTATGTATGTATGTATAGCTGTCTATACATGCATAGATTTAAGTCTATTTTATGTTGTAGGCCCTGATTCAGATGGTGGAGTTCTGCCCAGGTCATTAAATGTGATCTTTAACAGCATAGAAGGCAGAAATTATTCTCAAAATAACATCAAGCCTCACAGATGTGTCGACTTTATAAGACTCACCAAAGAGCAGCAGGATGAGGAAGCTACAAATAAGAGAAACCTTCTTCGCCGATTTAAAGATGTGAATTATTTTTATATATATTTCCTCTTTTTTTTAATTGTATATTGTTTTTTAGCACAGAAAAGTAAATTACTAATGCTCACATATTGACTGTTTCTGTGTTTATCAGATTGACCAGAAAACCCTGTCTAGCATGTCCAGCTCCAGCTGTTCATCATTTGAAAGTAAGTATTATTGAATGTTTTATGTCTTTTACTCTGTGTTTGAAATAGTTTTTGAGCATTCTGTCAGTGAATATGAGCATAAACACTTTACATTGACCCCCCCACCCCCACCCCCCAGGCTCCACCTCTAGTGACACGAATGGGAACAGTGTCTGTTTGGATGAGACCTCTTATGTTAAATTCTCTGTGTGGGTCTCCTTTTGTGAAATCTACAATGAAAACATCCATGATCTGCTTGATGTTGTTCCAAATGGCTCTCACAGAAGGAATGTTTTGCGGCTAGCCCAAGATGTTAAAGGCAATGCTTTTGTCAAAGGTAACCAACTGTTTTCTGGCTTGAAAATAATAATAATTGAATAAATGTTTACATTTAAGTATTTTATAAACAAATATTTTATGAATTATCAGCATATACTTTTTATAATAAATACAGCTTTGATTATTTATACATTTTGTCTGAATATTTTTTTCCCTCCAGATCTAAAATGGGTTCAAGTTAACAGTGCAGAGGAAGCATTAAAAGTTGTGAAAATCGGAAGGAAAAATCAAAGTTTTTCATCCACCAAGCTCAACAATGTCTCTAGCAGAAGGTGCTTCATTTTAAATCACTTGTAGTGTTAATATTTAACTTGATCATTTTATTATGTTTTGAAATGATATAACATATACATTTTCTCCATAGCCACAGTATATTTTCCATTCGGATCTTGCATATTGAAGATGTGGGTGTTCCTCGGGTTCAGACAATTAGCGAGTAGGTGACCTCAATACTAACATGCTTTAACATGGAATCATTGATTTAGTCATTAATTAACTTATTTTTAAAGGCTGTCATTATGTGATTTGGCTGGATCTGAGCGATGTGCAAAGACTCAGAACCGAGGAGACCGCTTAAAAGAAGCTGGAAACATCAACACTTCCTTGCTAACACTAGGGAAATGCATCAGTGCTCTGAGGCTCAACCAAACGCAAACCAAGTGAGAAAATGTCCACTTTTAAAACAACTAATTTGCGGGTTGCATTCTGTTGAATTGAAGTCCTTTGAATTTCCCATTGAAATTGGGACTTAGAATGCAACTAATATGTCTTTTTGCACAGGTTTCATCAGCATATCCCCTTCAGAGAGAGCAAACTCACACATTATTTGCAGGGTTTTTTCTGTGGCCGTGGAAAAGCCTGCATGATCATCAACATAAACCAGTGTGCCTCTGTATATGATGAAACCCTGAATGTCCTCAAGTTCTCAGCAGTGGCTCAGAAGGTTTGCAGGAACCTTTATTTGATATTGAATTATCAGGCATTTTTTCTCTCTTCATTAGTCCTTTGAATTTCCCATTGAAATTGGGACTTAGAATGCAACTAATATGTCTTTTTGCACAGGTTTCATCAGCATATCCCCTTCAGAGAGAGCAAACTCACACATTATTTGCAGGGTTTTTTCTGTGGCCGTGGAAAAGCCTGCATGATCATCAACATAAACCAGTGTGCCTCTGTATATGATGAAACCCTGAATGTCCTCAAGTTCTCAGCAGTGGCTCAGAAGGTTTGCAGGAACCTTTATTTGATATTGAATTATCAGGCATTTTTTCTCTCTTTGCTATTTATTCATTTTGTTCTTTTACCTTTTGCCCTTATAGGTGGTGGTCCACAACCCTAAACCAGCTCCTAGCTTTGCACTCAAGAGATCTGCCAGAGATGTGTCCATGATAATCAATAATGCTGACAAGAAGGATTGGACCAGGAGAAGCTCGCTCATGGGCTGGGAGATGAGCCTAGAGGATGTGCAGGAGGATGAAGATGATGAAGAAATGGGTGAGGATGACGATGAGGAGAGTGAGAGCATGGAGGACAACACTGTTCTAGAGGCTACAGAAAGTCAAGAGCTGTGTGAGGTATTCAAGGTGTTGTTGTTTTTCAGTTTCAATAATTGTTTTCATTTTCAATGTTATTTTAGACTATATAATATGCTAATATGATACATTCAACACAGCTTCAGTTGAAAATTGAAGAGCTCCAAGAGAAGCTGTCCAAAGAAGAGTCTGAAAAATTAACTATGGAAACTCGTATTCGTGAGGAAGTCACTGCAGAGTTTATGGAGCTGTTTTCTAACATGGAAAAAGACTACAAGTAAGTCAATCAATACATTCATTCATTCATTCAAATTGTGTTCAGCACAGATTTTTTTTTTGGCAGTTTTTTTGACTCTTTTAATTATTTTAGTGAATCTGACACAGTAGTCAGTGGGTGCAATTCATTTTTATTAATTTCTCTATATTTATTGAAGATGCATTAATGTATGTTGCCTTTTTTTCAATGTTTCAGTGAACGTCTTCAAAGAGAGAAAGAAATTGTTGAGGAAAGAGCGGAAAGGAGGCTTGAGATACTGAAGAATCTGGTCAACAGAACTATCGGTGAAATTTCCACTGATAGCAGTGATGATAATGCTGCAAAGGTAATTGCAGAGGGCATCCTCTAATAAGAAAAAGAGGGCAAAATCAAGTGGCATTTATGTCCACTGTTAAAACCTATGTGAATATAGCTGTTATTTCTGCTGTCTACAAAATTTTAGCGTCATTGTATTCATTGTGATTTTATGACTTTAGATAGACTGATCTATATAAATCTTGATGATTTTATAGGTACAAGGGAAAAATAGCGAATTCTATCTTATCTGTATCATGGCACACATTTGACATTGAAATGCCATTGGAAAATAATATGTATTTTTTTTCTTCTCCGCATCATTCTAGGAGGCTAAGATTGAGCTTTTGGACAGCATGATCGAGGCAATACGAGATGATTTAGCTAAGATGAAAGGAGATGCAGAGGCAGTACAGAATTGCTTGACAAATGTCCCTGAATCACCCAGAACAATTTGTCATCTGAGGACAGAGCTGGAAGAGATGAGAGAGGAGCTTCTCAAAAGCCAACAACATCTCAGTCTTAAAACTAAAGGTGTGTTCAGTTGCCATGAAGGGGGGAAAGCTCGGTGTTTTATGACATAAGTCTAATTATATTTTCTCATTTCAGAGTTTGAAGCAATGTGTGTTCAAATGCAGGAATCAAATGACCAGCTTCTCCAAGCAAATAGAGTAATTTGAACTAAAGTTTTCTTTTAAACGTCTAAGGTTATTGTCAGTAGATTGTTTACATGGACTATCTGGATTCTGTTGTTTTGATGTTTGTTTGTTTGCCTTTTTTAGAATTATGAAAACCAGAAACTGAGATGTCAGGAACTTATGTCAATCTGCCAGGAGAAAGATGACATGGTCTCTAAATTACAGACTGCTTTGGACCAAAATGTGGAGGCAGCTACTAAAGATGTAAGTTTATAATACACTACTGTTCAAAAGTAGTTTCTTATGCTCACCAAGGCTTTATTTACATGATCAAAATCAGAGGCGGACAGTAGTGAAGTGTTTTTACTCTGCTGTAAAAGTACTTTTCAGGTGTCTGTACTTTATCAGAGTGTTTTTCTTTAGAAAACTTTACTTCACAACATTCCAAAGCATAATATTGTACTTTTTACTGCACTACGTTTCATATTTAATATAATTTAATACTTAATTACATTAGAAATCTATTACTTTCTTAATTCTACTCAAGTAAAAGTAATTCAAAGATTTACTTGAGTACAAGAAAGAACAACATTTTTAATGTTCTTAAGTATTAAAGGTAAAACAAACAACAACTTTTATTTATGAAATGAAGTGCAGTAAAAAGTATGACATTATGCTTTGGAATATAGTGAAGTAAAGTAAAGAAAAACACTCATAAACTACAAATACTTTTTTAATTTACTTGAGTAAAAGTAAAAAAAATAAAAATACTTCACTACTGTCCGCCTCTGATCAAAATACAGTAAAATAGTGATATTATGAAATTTTATTATAATATTTTAAATAACTATTCTCTATTTTATTGTATTATAAAATGTATTTTACTCTTGTGATCGCTAAGCTGAATTTTCAGCAGCCATTCCAGATTTTAGTGTCACCTGATACTTCCGAAATCATTCTAATATGCTGATTTGTTGCTCAAAAACATTATTATTTACAACAGTTGTGCTGCTAATATTTTTGGGGAAATCATGTTTTTCTCCAGATTATTTAATAAATAGAAGTTCTCAATAATATAATTTATTTGAATAATGTTTTGTGACAGAAATGTCTTTACTGTCACTTTTGGTCAATTTAATGCATGCAAGAAATGAAATATACATTTCTTTCAAAAGTAAAATTTCATACTGACCCAAGATATTTGAATTGTAGTGCATGTTGTCAGATTCCAGTTCAGTTATGTCCTTTTTTTTTTTTGTCCTTATGGAATAATCTCTGATTAAGAGTGGTGATCTACAAGTATGACTGACTGAAAACGAACATTCTGTCTTTTACTTATTTAATTTCAAATCTATATGCTGTTATTTTTTTCTGTGAACACAAATGGTTAATTTAAGTATCTTGCCACAACTCTTTATAACCAACTAGTGTTTATAGTGACCAGTGTGTCAAAATCCAAAAAGGACATTAAAACACAATAAATGTAGCTCATAGTAGGCTTATTTTAGTGTCTTAATACAATAGCTTGTCTGAAAAAGTCAAAAATCTGTTAATCACTGAAAATTCAGTAGTAGTCCTGTGTACTTTTTATGGTGTTTTTGTCTTTTTTTAGAGTTTGACAGACATGGTCACTATAAACTATTTCTATATTCAAAGGAGCTTTTTGAAAATTCTTGAATTCTGCTTTTGTGTTCTAGGGAAAATATATAGTTTACTTTTATGAGGAGGTACACATATATTTAGTTAAACATTTGGACTGTAATGGCTCATGTTTTTTCTTTCATTCCCAATGTACAGAGGGCCTTAATTAATAATATCAAAGAAGAAATCCTAAATTTCAGAAACAACTGTAAATGTATGCTGAAAAAAGATGGTGAACCTAGCAGGGAAGAAATGATAAGTCGGGAAACTCAGCAGCTTTTGCAAGAACTGAAAATGAAAGAGGAGCAGCTGAATGAACTTCAACTTGAGCGTTGTTCGCTTGAGAAAAAAGTGTGTGATCTCTCTGATAGACTGGCAGAGCTGACTCATGCACATGAAGCCACTGTGGTGATGAAGAGAGCAGAGGTCAACAAAGTCACAAATGAGAACAAGACTCTTGCCAATGAGTTAAATGAACTTCAGCAGGCAGTCAATGAGATGAGCTCAAAGCTCAAAACTCTGCAGATAGAATTGAACACTCAGACGAAGATTACCAATGAGTTTTCAGAAGAACTTGATGCAGCCAAAGCTTTGATTAAGGAACATCAAGCAGAGTCTTGCAGTCAGTCCAAAGCTATTGAATGCTTAATGACAGAGGCAGATCATTTGCATCAGGAACTCGGTGCCTGTCAGCTCTTGCGTGACAAAAAGGAGGCAGAATGTGAGAAGATGGTTGAGTTATCTCATGAGAAGAGCCGACAGATCAATGACCTGAAGCAGGAGGTCAGCCAGACCAGAGCAAACATGTGCCAGCTGGAGGAGCTCTGCAGTCAGCTTAAATATGAGCGTGATGCCCAGGCACAAGAGTACCAGAGCCTACTGAGCCGTTATGAAGATCAAAAGTTTGTTGTGGCCCAAATAAAAAGCAACTCTGAGCTCCTGGAAGAACTGACTGCTCTGAAACAGCAGGGGAGGATAGAAGAACAAGAGCCAGACTCCAGAGATGATTGCTGGAAAACTCTGCAGGACAAACTCATTCAAATGCTGAGCAAACTGAACCAGCATGAGGAAGTTCTGAACATAGTGAGAACGATTGTAGAGAATGAGATCTCTAAGGCAAGAGATGAGGCCAAGAGGAGAATAACTGCGATGGAGAAAGATCTGGCTCATAAAGATGTTAAACTAGAGACTAAAGCCCTAGAGATTTCGAAGTAAGTTCTCATTTCTTATCCAAACTTTTTGATAAGTTGAGGAGTTTATCCTCATTTCTCTTGAGTCAGTGTCTTTTTTTGGATGCACTAGATTTTACTGCTCATTCTCTTCAACTATTTATTTATAGTTGCTTAAGCATGGAACTGAGAAAAATTATTTGATGAACATCAGCTGGTCCGATTGATCTTTTGGTCTTTTTATAGGTTGAGAGAACTTGTGAACGATGGACTTAATAAAATCAAGACCATGAGTTGTGATTTGCAGCAGGTGGAGAGAGAGCGATCTGATGTCAGAGATCAGTTATCAGAGGCTAACATGCAGAAAGAACAGTTAGAGAAACAGGTTGGAAAAATCACTGTTTTTGTCTTTTGTTAGTGTTGTAAAAATTTATTTAAACAGTTTTTTTTAATAATGATGTTTTATTCCTTCAGATTTTGATCTTAATTGAAGAAGAAAAGAAAATGTTTCAGCAGAAGCTATGTGAAGCAAATGAGATGAGGGATCAGGCTGGACACAGTTTGATCTGTACAGAACAATCTATTGAGCCACCGCAGACTGTGAGTGCTGCTCTTTCTCTCAGCTTTGTTCAGTTTGTGATGTTATCAGGTCTTAAATGCTGGATTATTCCACATCTTTTCACTCACAGGTGAAGTCTAACCATGCCATAGAAGAAGACAACATTCAGACTTTCCAAACAACCTGTCAGGGTAACCTATATGCCTTTTCATTTAAACCTTTTTTTCTGCAGTACCAGTTGGTGTTAACAAAATCGGCTTACGTTTTGTCCTTAGTAAGATTGATTTGGTTTGCAGATCTTTTGGCAGAGCAGAAGCTGATTGAGAAGACCTTAAATAAAGACTGCACACAGACAGATGAGGAGGAATTGCTGGAGGCCAGACTGAATGAGATTGAATCCATAACTGAAGGTGGCTGAGTCTATTCTAATTGTAATTTGTATACATCTCTGCTAGGTAGGGCTGGACAATAATTCGATATCAATATGTATCGCGATATAATTTTTTTCAATAACGGTGATATGATTTTTAAACGCATTTCCGATATTTCGATATACATTACCAGTTTTAACACTCTAAAAGCGCCTCCTGCTGGCAGAGAATGAGTTTTCATTTTAAATAAGCCCATAAGCCCGGCGCATCATGCACGTGAGGTTATCTGACGGAGAGACGCAAAGCAGTTTAAAGCAGAGTTTTAATAGATTTTAAAATGTAATTTATTCCTGTGATCATACATAGCTAAATTTTCTGAACAGTCTTCAGTGTCACATGATCTTCAGAAATCATTCTAATGTTGACCGTTGAGTAATTTTTTTTTTCAGGATTCTTTGATGAATAGAAAGATCCAAAGATCAGCATTTATCTGAAATAAAAAGATTTTGTAACATTATACACTATTCCATTCAGTATCATTTTTATTAATTTTTTGGGAAAGAAATTATAGAAATTAATACTTTTATTTAGCAAGGATGCTTAAAATTGATCAAAAGTGATGATAAAGGCATTTATAATGTTACAAAAGATTTATATTTCAGATAAATAGTGTTCATATCGATATCGGAATTATATCGTATCGACCGAAATTAAGAAATATATCGTGATATCAATTTTGGCCATATCGTCCAGCCCTACTGCTAGGCAACATACTGTGAGAACTAAGTCAGCAAGATTCAGTTTAGGGAATTCAAGTTACTTCAATACCAAGTAGATACAAGAATACAAATATGCCAGTCTTTTTCCAGTATCAGCAGTATTAATTTATTAGTCATATTAATCTACTGTGTTAATATTAATTTAACCACAATATTGACTTTTTAGTCTTCTATTTCAATTCTTTTATTATGCATTATTACGTATTAATTAATATGAACACATTCTTTTATTTATTTATTTATTTGGATGAAAGTAATACTTCTTTTCCGCAAGGATGCATTAAATTGATCAAAAGTTACAGTAAATACATTTATAATGCTACAAAAGATTTCCTTTTCAGATAAATGCTGTTCTTTTCTTTTAAACTTTCTATTCATCATCAAAGAAAAAAGTACCAGAATTTAATATCCTCAAAAATATTAAAGTGCGACACATTTGTCAACATTGATAATAAGAAATGTTTCTTGAGCATCAGCATATTAGAATGATTTCTGAAGTGTTATGTGATACTGAAGACACTGTTCAGTTCACCTGTAACTGAAGCTAACCTCAGACATCTCTGTTCTTCTCAGATCTTACAAAACTCCAGGAGATGTATCAGAAACCAAGTGTTGATGTCTCTGATGAACCTCAGCAGGAAGAACGGAGAGCTTGCACACCTGCAGAAAACACAAACGTAAGCACCTGGAACTCTCTGTGATCCATCCGACTTTTCCATAACTGGGTTTCTCCAGCAGTAGAAAATTATTTATTTTGATGTTTCAGCAGCCTAATGAGCAGGCAGATGATAAGCAGGAAAAGGGGCTGGATGGAGCAGCCGTAGGGAAAGTGACTCAGGTAACAAGGCGACTAGAGGGTGACCAACGGGACAGGCTGCAGCTGGAGCTGTTAATAGGATCAGTCTTTCCATCTCTCTCTCTCCCTGCCTCATTATTTTCTTTTTCACAGGCTTGTGGGCAGGATTTAGCTCTAAGTAGTAATTTATTTACGCAGCAGGTTTCTGAGTTAATATCATTTTTGTGGTCCCAAGTGACCTGCCAACATGAGGAATGACAGGACTACAGCAGGACATTAATAACGCTGCAGAAAAGTAGAATGTGCAAACCTCTTAATTCATTTTGCAATCATTAATTCATTACACTTCTTTCACACAGTATTCGCTCAAAATCCACCAAAAATTGTCAATTTGCATGGTGGAATGACCATTTTTATTTGCCAAGTTGAGGAATGTTATTGGCCAAAGCCTAATAATTTCTAAATGACTAAATATTGCCCCAACCAGTGTAAAAACCTATCAGTAGTTAAGATGTAGAATTATTAGGCCGTTACGAATTAGAGGAAACTGAAAGATTTTAAAATGCTTGACATCAGTAACAATGTTTTATGCTAGTGCTAATATAATATTAAAACATTTTAATACAACTAAATATTGTTTTCTTTTTCACTTCCCTGCATACTGATTACAGGAACTATTAAAGCAGCAGCTGGCTGAGAAACAGGATACCATTGTGAAATTACAAAGGGAAAAGGATTTGGCTGCTTCTCATAAATCTGATACCCAGAATGTTGGCAGTTCCAAACAGACATCAAACGTGAAGACAGAGAATAAAGGCGACTCTTTTAGTCCAGCACAAGAGGTCAGTAGAGTGATATTAATGCAAAAGTCATAGAGCTTATAAGAAGCGTTAAAGCAATACAAAGACAGGAATAGCTCTGGTCTGTCTGATAATTGGCTACTGTGGATATATAATATGTGTTGGTTATCACTCAAAGCAGGTGGCAGTACTCGACTCCTCCATCCTGTCCACAAAGAGTCTCCGAGAAGAGCGCTTCCCCAAACCTGAGCTAGAAATCAGCTTTACACCACTTAAACCTGACCGAATGAATGTCAGGAAACCAGGAGAAGCAGAGTCTGTCACGATAAAACTCCGACGTACAGCCAGAAAGAGAAAGAGCCCAGAGATGGAGGTATGCAGACACTATATCTAAACACTGGAGGTATACAGACACTATATCTAAACACGTTGTTGTGGTTTCTAAACAATTGAAATAATCCAGGTTCCCATGGTCAGGGAATTTCAAAAGTGTGAGTTTTCACATCTGGAAATGTCATGGTAATTTCTATAGTCTATAGACATTTTTAATTATTTAGATTAGTTTAATTAATTGATTTAAATATATAAACATGTATTGCAGCTACAGTTTGTTGCAGTAAACTCTGAAGGTTCCGGTCTATTTTTAGAAATTCTTGTCAAATTGTGAGACATTTAAAAAATGAACAATGAAAAACATTAATCATGTGTGCTAACATCCTGGTCATCGTACGTATAATGCAACACATAATCATAACTTGTGTTATATGTGTTTGTTATTCTAGAACTCTGTGGAGTCAGAAAATCGAAAAAAACTACGGCTGAAGGTGAACAACAAGGAAAACATGCAATCTATTGAGGTGACTTTCTGTCCATTAATACACCTGTGACATCTCACATCTTTCTCTGTAATGTTTATTCGATAATACACTGAGCTAATTGTATTCTGTATTTGTGCACCTTACCAGACTCCCATAGTGCAAGGGAAAAAGGTGAGTCAATTAAAGGAGAAAGACTCTCCTGCCAGCCTGAAAGGTAAAAAAGACGGAGCCCTGCAGAAGATTGGTGACTTTATCCAGAGCTCTCCAACCCTCTTTGGGAGCAAAGGTCAGCTCTGCCTCTTAATTTTACACTCAGTCAATGGCATCGATTGGAGCTCTCTGCCAAAAGTGTTTCATACTGTATCTCAGCATGACCCAACTTTTAACTCCCTCCTCAGCCAAAAAGATCATGAGCATGGTGAATGTTAAATCCCCCGAACCGCCGAATCCTTCTGAAAACAACAAACCCAAGAAATCCAAACGAAAACTCTTCAAGACTCAGGTTTCCTCCCCACTGGACATACCCTCTCATCCTGTAAGTAGTGTTTCCTGTCACATAAGAGTGAATCATAAGCATGTATGAATAAATGAATGAAAAGCATATCATATGTTAGAGATAATGTAATGACAACAAATATAACATTTTAAGCCTCAAAAAGACAAGGTTGATAGTCAATCTGCTTTTAAAGATTTTTTTTAATTTCAGTGTTAAATTTTTTTTAAATAAGAAAAAAAACAATTTGAATCCCAACTTAATATGAAGAGTAAATTAAACGGTAAGCTATTATATTTGATTGGTATCTGTTGTTTGAGTTACCTGAACACCTAGGCACTAGATGTACCTCCGTGAAGTTGGCCCCCCACCCAACGCAAAACGTCGGCAAAATAGTCTCAATCGTTTGTGCTGTAAAAATTTTCATTTGTGCTGTTTTGGCTTTTTAGATATTAAAATAATATTTTATAGGTCATTCTGAGGTCACTCAGCCCCCCAACATACTCCAAATTCACCCCAAATAGTCTAGTTTGTTTGTGCTTCGTTTGTGCTGGTTTGTGCCGGTAAAAGTTTAGTTTGTGCTGCTTCGGTTTTTAAAATATTAGACACTGAATTATAGGCGATGACGTCACCAGCCCCCCACATGCTCCAAATTCACCCAAAACAGGCTCAATCGTTAGTGCTTCGTTTGTGCCGGAGCGGTAATATTTTCTTTTGTGCTGCTTCGGTTTTTTAGATATTAAAATATTATTTAATGATCATTCTGAGGTCACTCAGCTCCCCTACATGATCCAAAATTACCCCAAATTGTCTTGTTTGTTTATGCTTCATTTGTGCTGGTAATATTTTTGTTTTTGTTACTCTGTTTTACTGCTGGTTTGTGCCATAAAAGTTTTGTTTGTGCTGCTTCAGTTTTTTAGATATTAAAATAATATTTTTGATCATTCTGAGGTCACTAGGCCCCCTCACCCCCACCATACTCCAGATTTACCCCAAGTACTCTTGCTTGTTTGTACTTTGTTTGTGCTGGTAATATTTTTGTTTTCGCCACTGTCGTTTTTAAAGATTTTTTCCTAGTCAACAGATTAGTCAACGCTGATGGCCATCTCCACAGTAGGCTAATGGGCGTGCTTTTAATAGAGAAATGCATATTTTCATATGGACCACAGAATTAGAGAAGATTTGTTTTTTATTTGAATTGGTTTGTTTAATAGTAGACATTTCAAGATTTCTATAAATGTATTTATTGTGTGTGTCAGCCGTTCATTGTTGTGATGTGCTCCATTCACGGAGACCGCATGAGGTGACAGAAAGCACATCCAAAAATGACGGAGTAGCCTATTATATACAAGTTCTTAAAAAAAAAAATGCGAGAGATTGTGCAGACGCCTCCATATCATATAGTAAGCGTGATAATACTCCCACAAATACTTGAAATGCGCATATAATATAGCAATTTTATTATTCATATAAAAAATAATAATAATACCCTGTTTTGGTCATATTTACTATTAATTGCGCAGCTCCCCATCAATGATTTAGCACAGAGACTTATAGGTCTAAACTGAACGTGCAAGAGAAGCATTAGCCTACTTTTAATTTGGCCAAAGAAAACTTGTTAATATTAAAATTTTTCTATATTAATTTGTGCATTTTTCAAATGTTTATTAAAGGTGCAAAAAGTCATAAACAAAAATAATGGGGGGTGGCAACTTCACAGAGGTACTAGATGTTACTAAAAATGTTCAAATGATACATAAACAATACTTGCTGAAAAGTTTCATACTTTATTGAAACTAACATTACCCTGGTAACATCACGCTTTGGGGAAAAACTATATTAATATATATTTATGAAATATAATTATTTTATATGTTTAAGTTTGACATTTAGAAATAATTGAAGTAAGTTCTAAAGCCTTGTTGAATGTGAGTAAAAGAAATCTGATACATTATTTGAGATGTGTGTTTGTTTGTTGTGGTACAGAGGTACAGTTTAAAATGTATTTGTTCAGGACTAAAAATCCATGCAGCAATGCCAGGTGAATGTGTATTAAATTCATTAAATCATTTTACAGATCATTGGAGGCAGTGATGATAAAGAGAGCGACCATCTCATAATCAAGAGAAAACTCAGAACAAGAACTGCCAAGAGATAGTCCAAACATTCATTTGATGGCCAAGTATAATGTTTTTTTTTTGTTTAAGTGTTTATGTAGTTAATAAAACCTTACTTGTATCACACTTGACGTGTTCATTGTTTACTCATAACCGGAGTCAATAATCATGCAGATTTACGTTACAAACTTATAGAATTGTACAGTAAGAAAGTTATTTCCTTTAACCAGGAAATTAACGTTCTTAGAATTGACAAGATGGTTGACCCTGAGTGGTCAGCTAAATATCTACAGTGGATCTAAAATATTAATAATTAATCATAATTAGTTATGGTTAATTATTCATATTTCCCCATGAGCTGATTCGCTACAGCTGTATGGTGCTGTGTGCTAATATGGTCGTTTGAAGGTTGAGGGATAAATTTGGTGGACGCTGGCTCATTTCAATCTAGTCTGACCTAATTTTATTTCATTTAAATGATATAAAGTCGGTGTGCATTTCCTTGTAACTGCTGGGGATTTCAGCCAAAGACAATCATTTCAGGCAACACTGGGTATTGTGTTATATCTTTGATTGTCTGTGGGTGATAAATATTAGGGAAAAATATTCATTCGGAGAAATGGCTTTGACTATTAGGACTAAAATCTCATCTACATCTTTAAGTCTGACAGGAGTAAACATTATTGTGGACTCACAGTGCTTTCATGGACGAGGCGCATTGGTACCCTAATGAAAACACTGTCAGGATGCCCGGTTTTAGAGACAGCAGCAGGCGAAATGACTTATGAAAAGTGGCATTAAATATTGAAATTGGTGCAAGCATGTCAGCTTTCATTTTCTGCTTCATTTGTTTCAGAGTGAAAATCCCATACTCCTTCCAGCAGCCTTCTGAGCGTTTTCAGGAGTGCCATATTGAGCTTCATTACTCTCTTATCAGAAGGGTCACTGCACCAGCCCAACAACTCCACTTATAAATTACCGCAAGATCCCTCAGCAAAACAAGCAACTCATCATTCCATGTGGCAAACTGCTTTTTAAATGCATTGGCATATTGGATGTCTAGTAGTATCTCTTCTTGCTCAAGCAACTGCAATACCAAACAAGCAAGTCTGTTAGTGATATTATTCTTACACAAGTAAATCAATTCATTTCAGAAGGCCTTTATTCACCCCCCCAGAGCCATGTGGAGCACTTTTTATGATGGATCATTTTGCTTCAAAATCTTGACCACTCTTCACTTCCATTATAAAGCTTGGAAGAGCCAGGACATTTTTTTAATATAACGTATGTATTCGTCTGAAAGAACAAAGTCATATACACCTAGGATGACTTGAGGGTGAGTAAATTATAGGGTAATTTAAATTTTTGGGTGAACTATCCCTTTAAGGCCCATTCACACCAAGGATGATAACTATAACCATTACGTTTTAATGAATGTTCTAATTGTATGAGAATAGGGTGGTTCGCACCACAACTATAGTGATAACAACATGGAAGAATGCTATTGCTGTAATCACTTTCAGAACAAGTTCTGTCAAAATCCAGTCATATCAATAATCCATGCGTTCATGAATTTTGTGTGAGGGCAAAAGATGTCCCTGCACATTTTTGTTGCATTGACCAATAGAAAGCTGCTTGGACTTCTGTGTGAGCTGTGTTTCATGCATTGCGACACTATATCTACAATGGACCTTTTTGTCCTTGAATTTTTGCAGAAATTTCACTAATGTGACTGCTCAAAGTCAGAATGTCTATTTCAGCATCTATTTTCTAAATTCATGTTACAGATCTTATTGTGAATAATTCATCTGTGAATGTTTATTTTATTTATTTTTTTATTCTACCTTGTAATTTTTAATTAAAATGTCATTACTGGACTGTCTGTTCATCTGCCTCCATTTTTGCTTGAAACATGCTATGGATGGAACCAAGTCCTCATTCTACTTTGTTTTGTTTTTTTGGAAAATCTGGGATGTACTGTATGTCACAGTACGGAAGAAAAGACTTCCATTTCATTGCGACTTTAACAGCTTGTACTTGGCCACTGACATGACTACGGTCTTCTAGTGTGTGTACTTTATTTTAAAAATATGAATATTTAAAAAAAATCCTTTGTTTATTTAAAATGTTTTAAATTAAAGGTTCCTTTTTCTTTGTAGACTACTGAGAAGTGACTTGTTTGATGGCTGCAGAAAGGCTTTTAAGACATGGTGCAATTATTGTGAAGGTGACCTTACTGTTGTGATTTACAAGGGCATGGATGAGCACAGTGGGGCTTAAACTATGTCTCATAAGTGTATATTGGCTGCTCCAAACCTAATACCCTGATTCAGACCTACAGAAGAAGCACTAACTCTGTGATTAATGTGGCAGGAGGGCTGTTTTAGCACAAGAATGCATTTCATCCTTACTTTATTATAAACCATCACTGGAATTGCACATTTTTAAGACTGTTGAAGCGCCATGGGCCTGTTCTGTATTTATTTAGTTATTTTTTATTTATGTTATATGTGTGTGTGTGTGTGTGTGTGTGTGTACTTTTGTTTAAAATGATTGTGGCCCACAAAAGTTTCTTTAGCTGTGAGCTGATATGGCACTCTTTGTTCTTGTTAGCTAAAATGCATATCAAAGTCTTTTTTTCATGGAATGGCACCAAACAGGTACAATTCAATAAGAAGACCTAATAGGGAATATGTTCTAATAGGGAATGCTGAAATTGAATTAGTCTGTGGCTGTATACCACGCTGTTCTTGTGCATGAACATTATTACATTGTGTTATTGAGAATTAGTTTTAGTTTTGCAACCTCAAATGTCAGCATATAATCTCTGTGAAACAGCTGAGACAGCAGGCACCAAGGCTTTTTTAAATCCTGAAAAAAATACATTTTACCAGTTTCATTATGTTTTTGGTTCAACCAGTGGCCATTTGAAATGGGTTTCTCAGCACTTCAGGGTAACTGATTTTAATAGAAACAATTTCACATTCATTTCACCCCAGCACAATCTGCGAACCGCTATTAACCTATTTTCTTCTCTTAATTACTCCTCTAAATTAACTAATCTGCAATAAAGCCTCTCATGAAGAAAATCTTGTAACAAATCACAGCACATATAAATGAATGACGTGATGTTGAAAAATGTATCTCTGGCATTGCCTAATTTATTTCTTGGAGTGCCACAGTGCTGCATTAACGTGGCATTTGCCTTTGCTGAAGTTGAGAGATTGACTTACATAAGCATCTATGAATAATTTTTGACCATCACAGTACATGACTGTACTTCTTACAGTGAGGTCCATCCCATTAAGAGGTAAAAATACAGCAAGAGTGGATTGGGTGACCCAAACATCGGTCAGGATAGTGGTAGGTTTAAAATGGAAATGAAATCTTGCTTGAAACTAGAATAAATATTTTGCAGATTGCATCTAAGAAGATCCTGATTTTGAATGTGCTGTGCCATCAGGGGGCTTAATGTGAAAACATTTACAAATGAGATGTAACCTTGAAAAGACAAAGGCAACCGTCTCATTTGATTGCAGTTTGCACCCTGTGTTCCAGGCTGGCACCCCACACGTTCTCATTTCAATCATCCTTCTCACACATATAAACACAGACAACCTGCAAGGATAAATTATAATGAGTTACAGGGTTCTTTATTTACCAAAACAACCTCAACAAACAAAGCCAATTTTTAATGATAATTCTTTAGTCCCCTGTTGACTGAAGTAATGCATGTCTGAACATAGGAGAAAGCTTATAAGATTACCTTCTTTTTTTTTTAGGATTTATGGCACTCTCAGACTTCATTGAAAAACATGTAAATAAATCCTCTGAGGATTTCCAATTTAGACAATAAACCTGACACCTGACATTCTGTACAAACCCTTGGCCCTTTGCTGCCTGATGAAGGGTCCTTGAAAATGTTACCCTGGTGAGTAACAGTATGTCAGCAGAAGGGTGCACTCTGCAAGTTTATTATTGGCCAGAGTGAAATGCAAGTTCTCCAGTTACATGTCAGAGTATGAAGACTAAATCCTGAAATTGTCACCCAGGCCTCAATATTTAATTTGCAATTATTTGAATTTCTAATGTATTTCATAAATTTAGAACATATGTATTTTATCTTTATAAATCAGTGAATGCACAATGTTTATTTATAAAGTGTTTACTTTTATTATAAAGAATTGACTTACCATACCAAATGGTGAAAACAAAGATTAACTACATATGTTGCTCCATATAAATATCAGTAACTAGTGTCATGTCAGTCATGTTTACTCACCATGAAAGATGTTTACTCACCATCTCAATATGATAATGTGTGATAGAGTAGCTGTTTCTCCAGATTAGTGCAATGGCAGCCAGCCTCTCCACATTAGCACAGGACGACAGCTAGTCCTGCTGTGATGCTGGCAAAAGCTGAGGAGCTTAAAATAACTACAAACCTAACGAATCAACCTCTTTACCAACTTAACCAGCCAAGATGCAAAGTTATTTGCCATCCATCTGCGTTGTGAAAGCTATTAAGTATTACTCATTAGCAATATCTTTCTTTAAACTAAAATAATACACAGTGCGTTCTAAACATCTGACGCCACAATATAGAGAAACTATATATATTTAAACTTTTTTAACTAACAATTTTAATAAAAACTTAAATCCCTGATTTTCACCTTTATTTTTGGACCTCTAAATATTTTTAATTAATTTATGAGCACACTGTGGTTTATGCAGTGTTCATCAATGACATCTTTTTATTTATTTAAATCAAAATCATGTCTGCCTTGCTATTTTTTTTTTAATTCAATTTTTATGCTATTATCTGCAGAAAGCATGGACAGAATATTGATGGTCTCTCTGTTCAAAGTCATTGCTAGATGCAATTAAGCCTCACATCTTTATTTCCTACAGCTCCTATCCAGTTCCTGTGACAATTGTATTCATTCCCATTGGGAACATTTAAACATTGAAACATAAAACAGTTGAACAAATCAATCAGCATTTATAGAGGTTGTTCTCTCTCTCCTTTATACCTGTTCTTAATTGCTGTCATCTATTAATCCCTGACTTCTTGTTA